CTTAGAGAGCTGACTAGGAGATGCCCAGGGAGCAGAAATGGTGAGTCAGAAGAAACCATATTTATATAATGAGTTTTCTTCCCGTAACCACACTTCAGTTACCAAATATTTATTAAACGTCACCAGCATCGTTGGTATTCCCAGTTATTTTCTTGCATAAGCTGTAACAGCTTGAGCAGAAGAGTCAACATAACATGCACTCAAGCATTGCAAGTTACAATCAATATGCTCTTGTTGGGAAAATGCTGTTAATGGTTTATTTCTAATCAATTTGAGCCTTATAGCTCAGCTTTTAACCTAATTTAGATAATAAGAGCTTAATGCTACCTCCATCAATACTTGTGTGTAAACCAGGAGGGGATGGTGAAGTGAGAGCAGAACCAGACTTGAAATTTAGGGGTTTAGTCATTCTTTTGGCTTGATGATTTGCAGGGGATGGGGTATTTTAGGGGGCATTAACAACAGGACAGTGCTAAGCACTAAATCCTGTGAGGATGTGGCAGGATGTAGCCTGCAGTGATTGGGAAGAGCCCACTTATATAGGTATGAGTGTGAGGCTCCAGGCTGGACACATGAGTTATCCTTTGTGTTTTTCCTGCAGAGAACCCAAAATACTTGGAAAAGAAAAGGACTGTGAGCATCACTACCAGAATTAAGTGGGGGTTTTGGCAGGGGAAACTGAGGCTGGAGACATGCAGAAGGGGTGAGCACCTGCAGCTGGGCTGTGCTTGCAGGGATGTTCTCCGTGGCTCAGGGATGTTCTGCCTAGACACCTCAAACACCAGGCAGTTCCAAAAACCAGCCACAGCATCCCCAGCCAGTTGGCAACCAGATGGGATTCCTGTGGTGGGATTTCTCCAGTCTCTTGGGTGCAGATGGGACACATTTCCAAGCCTTCTTCTGCAAACACGATGGCTGCAATCCCCTTTCCTTTCCCATCTTGCAAGTGAGGAATCTGCCATCCCTGACTCCAAGGGTTGGTAATGACTGAGGACCAGGGGAGAATTGGATCACTCTGGCTAAGCCGGGGTTCCTCGCTGACTCCTGCGTTTTTTCCAGGCAGATTTACGAGTTTTTAGGAGTGCTGTTGCAATCCCTTCCCTGTCAGAGCAGACAGATGCTGGAGTACATGGCATTGGGCACTGCCAGGGTCCTGCTGCTGGCTCTCCCACTGTCAGAGTGATCCTGGAGGTAAATCCAAAGCCAACCCAGAGCCTCAGGACACCCCTCCTGTCTAGCTCCTCCACTTGCTTTGGGATATTTTGCAACTTGAGTGGGTAAATTCACTTAATCCCTTGACAAAAGGAGCCAGCCCCTCCCGAGGCTGTCCCAAAGGCAACCTGGGTGGGATTAAAGGGGATCTTTGCAAAGGGGGACCTGTGCTGGTAATGCCATCAGCCAGCTTTTCCTCTGGGATTTGTCCCCTGGGTGTGTGTCCCCCGAGCCTGCATCCACTTTGGTGCCAGGGGTTGAAGGACCAGGCAGCTTCCCTAAACATTGCTCTGGCTGATGCACTCACGTCACACTGGGATGTTGAACAGCTGCTGAGTTACAGGGGTTTGGAATGAAATGTGCAGCATGAAAGGAGCTGGCTCCCACTGGAGCAACCCAAACTGCAGTCAGTGTTCCTGCCCTGGGCTGCTCTCTGGATGGGGTTTTACTCCATCCGTGCCTCTGGAGAGGTGCTGAAAGTCTGCATGTGCCTCAGTTTCCCCTGCCCCAAACAGGGATAATGGCTGCTTTTGCAGTCCAGCAAAGAGGGAAAGGAAGGTGGGAAAAACAACCCTATGGCAAAGAGAACAGGGATGGGCAGGGAGCTAGGAAGGCAGGAGGGCAGCCAGGCCCATGGGCAGGCTGGCAAGGTGGCCCTGTCTCCCCTGGCTTGCCCCCCATTTCCTTTGGCTTCCTTCCACATTTTTGCAAGGGAATTCTTGGCCTCCAACCACAGGAGAAGACTGAAAGGGCAGCTGGCAGCCCCTGGGTACCCGAGCCAGGGGGTGGCACACAGACAGTGCTTTGGGGAGAGGGACAGCCTGGAATGTTTTTACCAGTTGTTTTTTAAAATTGGGCAGCATCTGACCATCGGTTTGCTTCCTTCCATCTGTCTGTGCTCCAGAAATTGCGGCACTTCTTTCCTCTTTTCCCTCTCTGCAGAAATTCTGGCTTCTAGGGAGAAAAAGGAGGGGAAAAACCAAACCAAATACAACCAACAAGCAATCCTGCAGCCCCAGGTTGGGTTGAACATTGATCCCCTCACACTGTTGGAGGGAGGTTGTGCTGGGGTGTTCCACGGGTGCTCCCTGCTATCCTGTTGTGGGATCCAGTGATATTACAACGTTCTGTGCATACCACAGTAATACTGTCTGTGTAGGAGCAGTTTCACCCACCAAAGTAATGATAATAATTAAAAATAAACCCCACAGTTGGGGGATCTCTGTAGACTTCAGCTTCTGAGTGGTTCCCACGAAGGGGAATGTAAGCAGAGGTTTTGCAAGACCCTGTATGAGAAAGAGAAATCCTTCAATGTTCTGAGGTTAAAAGCAACCAGTTCCCCTCGCTCTGATTTGTATTTATTTTTCCCTTCACTATCCCTCTGCCTGTGCTGTTCGCTGCTGGAAGGCTCCTGTAGGGCAGTACCTCGCTCAGGGCTCTCCCAGACCCAGCAGCGCTGTGGTAGGAGGGATTTTGGAGCTGCTGTGGTGCAGGTGTGTCAGAAAAAAGGCATCCCTCCTCATTTTTGGGCAGGGGGTGGGTGATGGAATGGGTGGAATTTGATCTTCTTGAGAGCAGTAGGAACCAAGGATTGCAGCTGGGGAGAAACAAGTAGGAGTTTTTGTGAGAACATCATCCTGCATAGTGCCTGGACACCTGGGGCAGAGGAGGGATGCTCTGTGACCCTCTCTGGCTCACACTGGTGTCCTCTCCCCCCAGAGCAGGTAAGAGGCTGATTTTCCAGCTGTGTTTAGCAGCTGGACAGAAATCCTGCTAAGATCTCCCTGGATTCTGGTTGGAAATGGCAGGGAAGCTCCTTGTGCTTGCAGGGCTGCAGTGCCTTGCAAGGAGGCAAAAACCAGTCTGTTTGCAGCTCTGGGCTCCCCAAACCTGACCCAAAATGCTGCCCTGAATCTGATCTCAACACCCACATCCACAGCCTCCGTGGTGGGAAGGAAATGCTGGAGAGGGCACGTTCCTTCATAGGTGGCTTATCAAGCCAGAGCCTGTTTGCAGAGGCACAGGGAGGTTGGGATGAGTGGGATTCAGCTCATCCACAGCATTTGTTGGCCAAAAGTGCTCAGTTGGCCTCTCCTGAGCCCTGGGGATCCCATAATTTGCTTTTGGCCATGACTCCAAACCCTTGGCCGAGCAGCCGTGCAGGTGGATTTCTGCTCTCCCTGGAGCAGTCGGGGTCCATCTGAAACCCAACCAATGTCTGCACAGGCCAGGGATGGGTATAAATAGACACCAGATGGTGGAACAAGTGAATTTGACCTTTTAATCTGCACTAAAGAGCTGTTTGTTCAGTTCGCTTTCCATCTTCCCTTTCCAGACACAGGGAAGGTGGATGGATGTTTTCCAAGTCCCTCTATTCCTGCTGCTGAAGGAGTTTCTTGTACCTCTGAGGATGTACCTCTGAGGATGTGAGGGTCAGTGTCCCAGGGGATTTGTGATAGGAACTGAGAGCTCCCAGGTAAAAACTGGGAAAACCTGTAACAGGTTAGAAAAAGATACAGCTGGATTTATTCCCTTGGAAATGAGTGATGATCCCATGATGCACAGCTCCAGCACAGAGCATCCTTCTAGATCTTCAGAGGCCTAATTTTAGGAAGGGTTTGTGATATTTTTAGGAAGTATCCCAATGGATTTCCACTAGAGGGTAAACAGTTCCCCCAACTCATGGAGCAGCCACTTGTGGGGATCTCGCCTGGGTTTCTTGCCTTGGCGGTGACTTTTCCATGACATTTGTTGCGTGTTTGGGGCTGGGATGTGAGTCATGTCAGGGAGATGTGGCCAGTCTAAATAAACCAGTCTATTCCCTGCTCCCATCAGCCTCCCTGGGGCCTGCCCTTGGATAATGAGCCGGGGAGTACTTGGGATACGAGTTGCTGAAATGAAACATCTGTTTACGTGGAGCTGCCAGTGATGGGATAAAATGTGGCAGAATAATTTAAAATAGCCACAAGTGCTCTGGGGAAGAAGCAAATATGCTGTATCTCCCTCAACATCTCCCTCATTTGCTAAAAAAATGGCATTTTGTGTCTAAGAAAGTGGCATTGTCCTGGCAGTATTGTGATGGATGAGCACACAGAGCACTCTGCTCAGGGAACAGTGAATTTTGGGTGAAGCTCGGCCATCAGAGAGGGCTCCCATTGAGTCCTCCAAGTTTAATTAGGCTCCGAATTGAGACCGCAGGGTGTAATCTGTCTGGGGAGGAGAGAAGCCACTTTCTCTTTCCCAACACTATGTTGTGTAATAGGTGCATTTTTTTCTCCTGACTCGGGGCTGTGAGCAGTGCCAAGCAGAGGAGGAATTTCGATGCTCCGATAAGATGTTTACATCAGCGTAAACATCGCTGGCGCGGTTGACATATGAAGTAATCCCTGGTCACCCCAGTCTGCAAGCAGGGGATGCTGCAGGGCGAAGACTTGGCTGCCAGAGTGTTTTGGGCCCAGTTTGTCACCAAGGATGTCGGGTTCAAACCCTGTGACCAGCACGGGTGGTTTTGCACCAGTGAAATGTTATCTGTGAAGTGTTTCCCACCCCGGGGCGGTGAGGGCAGAGTTAGTGCTTTGGGGAATATGCAGGGAACTCTCCAGAACGCAGGTTTTCCATAAGATAATTCCTCCCTAGGGATTTCTGGGTGCAAAGGGCGTGGCAGGTAAGACACAGTAGCTGGAGAAGGGGATGCAGGGATGGGCTTGTGCTGCCTATCCCTTCTGCTGTTAGAGGCTAACATCACTTTAGAAAGGCAGCACTGAGTCCATCAACTTGTACTCTGGATGTGGTGGGCTTCATAAATGAGGCTGATTTCTCCTTTCTGAGCAAAAAAAAGAGCCCCACAACAAAGGTTTTATTCAGGCTCTGCCTGCCCCTCTCCTTCCCTGCAGAACCACGTCCTGACCCTGATGTCCATGGCTGCTCACATCTATAAACACCCCAGCCTGAAAAACTCCATCAACCTGGTGGTGGTGAAGGTGCTGGTGGTGGAGGAGGCGGCAGCGGGGCCGGAGGTGTCAGACAATGGAGGGCTCACCCTGAGGAACTTCTGCAGTTGGCAGCAAAGGTTCAACCCGCTGAGCGACCGGCACCCAGAGCACTACGACACGGCCATCCTGCTCACCAGACAGGTCAGCATCCCTGGGGAGTGCTCTGGGGGGTAGAGGGGTCAAGGTGTCCATGGAGGGAGAGAAGAGGGTTGACCATGGAGGCCGATGCCCCACCATGCAAAGAATGGAGATTGCAGCAAAGCAGTTGCAGGGGGATGGTTTCATTTGGGGTGCAGACCACCAGTGGGTTGCCCACAGAGATGTTGGAGCTGAACGTGGGACTCCTTCACCCTGCCTGACCCCCTCGGTGCTGCTCACAAACAGGACTTCTGTGGACACCAAAGCTGCGACACGCTGGGAGTGGCAGATATTGGCACCATGTGCGACCGCAACAAGAGCTGCTCGGTGATCGAGGACGAGGGCCTGCAGGCAGCCTACACCCTGGCTCATGAACTGGGTAACACGTCCCTTCCCGAGGGGGAGTCTGATTTTTCCAGCCCTGCTGCTGGGAGGGGTTATAGCACAGCGCAGCCCAGCACCACCATCTCCCAGCTGGGGACCACCTGCCAAACTTTGGGCAACGTGGGGAGCTTCTGGCACTGGTAGAAGCTGGTTTGCAGCAGCAAAAGCTGTTAGAAGTACCCAAATTGTTATAAATTGGTGTATTTACACCAGTTGTGGAAGAATTTCTGCACTGAAAGGGTTGTCAAGCATTGGAAGGGGCTGCCCTAGGAGGTGGTGGAGTCCCCATCCCTGGAGATCTTCAAGGAACAACTGGATGTGGCACTCAGTGCTCTGGTTTAGTGACAAGGTGGTGATCAGTCAAAGGTTGGACTTGTTGATCTTGGAGATCTTTTCCAACCTTAATGATTTCATGATTTACCTGTTGTGATGAGCTCAGCTGTGGAATCAAGCACATATCTCCCTTGGTTTGTCATTCCTGCACTGACTAATTTTTTCCTAGAGAAGCTGTGGCTGCCCCATCCCTGGAAGTGTTCAAGGCCAGGCTGGACAGGGCTTGGAGCAACCTGGTCTAGTGAAAGGTGTCCCTGCCCATGGCAGGGGGTAGAACAAGATGAGCTTTAAGTTTTTTCTAACCCAAACCATTTTGGGATTGTATGAATTTGTGCTGCTTTGGCCAGCATACAATGGGCCATACCACTGAGATGGAGCAAGCAGATTTTCATTCATTTTGATTTATGGAAGCAAATGGCTTTTGCAGCAATAGAAGCTGTTTGGTACCTTACTGATGCTCCCAGCTGCCCAGGAGTTGGGCTGGGCAGGCTGCAGCTCTCTGATGCTGGGGGGCTGCACTCACAGTGCCCTCTGCTCCCCAGGCCATGTGCTCAGCATGCCCCATGATGACTCCAAGAACTGTGAGCGGCTCTTTGGACCCCTTGGCGAGCACCATATGATGGCCGCTCTCTTCATCCACTTGAACAAGACCCAGCCCTGGTCTCCCTGCAGCGCCATGTACCTCACCGAGTTCCTGGATGGAGGGCATGGTAAGCCTCAGCTCAGCAGCCTCAGCACTCAAAACCACCTTTTCATTAATTGTTCAGGCTCTCTGCAACACCTGGAGGGGCATGTGGGGTGAAGGGAGAGTCAAACCAGACCTCAGAGGAGGCTTGGGGTGCCCTGCTTGATGCAATCCAAGCCCTGATGGTCCAACTCCAGCCTAATTCCTGAACTTTTCCCAGGTGACTGCCTGCTGGACACCCCAGCCGAGGCCCTGTCCCTGCCTGCCGAGCTGCCCGGTCAAAGAGCCCTGTACAGCCTGGACCAGCAATGCCAGCAGATCTTCGGGAAGGACTTCCAGCACTGCCCCAACACCACAGAGCAGGACATCTGTGGCCAGCTCTGGTGCAGGACGGGCAGTGGGGAGCCCCTCTGCCACACCAAGAATGGCAGCTTGCCCTGGGCCGACGGGACGCCCTGCAAAGCCGACGGGCTGTGCTGGGACGGGCGCTGTGTGCCACAGGATGCCCTGAAACCCCAGGTAATGGGGGATTGGGGAACGATTGCCTGGGGCTTGACCCTTTGGGATTCCCAAACCTCTGACCCCAGCCCTGCCATCTCCTTGACTGGCTTTGGATTTGGCTGCTTTATTTCTGGATATCTCTCCTTCATTAATTTTTATTACCGACAAGTCCAGCTCATAAAGTCTGCTGCTGAGGTACGGACGAGTCTGACCTGGAACAAGCAGTGCAGATCTGCAATTAAATCATCGCTTTTTGCCCTGTTGGGGGAATTAGCAGCGGTTTCAGAGTCGGTCAGCAAAGGACTTAAAGCCCAGCTTAACTTTAGGCACATGAACAGACTAATGGAAGTCAGTATTAGCTTCGTATATGCCAAAGTACTTCTCTGGATTAGGGCTGGGTGGAGATTTTAGTGTTATTCCAGATCTTTGCTCACCCTGGGACTGAGCAGCCGGCCATGGACAAGGTCAGAGTGGATCAATAACTTTCTCATGGCCTCTTGCAGCTGGCGGTGGACGGCGGCTGGGGCCCCTGGAGCCCCTGGGGCTCCTGCTCGCGGAGCTGCGGTGGAGGCGTCCAGTTCTCCCATCGCCACTGCGACAGCCCCAAGCCCCAGCATGGTGGGAGCTACTGCGAGGGCCAGAGGACCAAGTACCAGTCCTGCCACACTGAGGAGTGCCCACCAGATGGTAAGGAGTGCCCGCCAAATGCACGTTCACCTCCCACTCCTGCTCCTCCAGAATACATCACCAGGGATTGCTCTGCTCTTGAGTATTCATGTTTGGGGGGGCAACAGCCTTCTGCTAAGGGCTGTGACCTTCTCTGGCTGGGTGGAGGAAAGTGTGTGGGATCTCTTCTCTGCAATAATCCTCCTCTGCATGCTCACCACATGCTCCTCAGCTCACTCCCCCTCTCCTCAGCTCGCTTCCACATCTCTCTGATGGCCAAGGGCAGTGGTTCCTGCTGGCTTCCCACGATTTTGAGTCATGTTTCTCCTTCCCTTTCAGGGAAGAGCTTTCGGGAGCAGCAGTGTGAGAAGTACAACAGCTACAATTTCACGGATCTGGAAGGGAATCGCCTGGAGTGGGTTCCCAAGTATGCAGGAGTGTCCCCCCGGGACCGGTGCAAGCTCTTCTGCAGAGCCCGAGGGAGGAGCGAGTTCAAAGTCTTTGAGGCCAAAGTAAGATACCTGGTGATTGGAATCACCCCTATATACCCCATTTCAGAACTCATCCACTAATTGCTGCTCTGCATCCTTCTTTCCCAGGTGATTGATGGGACGCTGTGTGGCCCGGAGACCCTCTCCATCTGTGTCCACGGGCAGTGCATCAAGGCTGGTTGTGATCACATCATTGGGTCCTCCAAGAAGCTGGACAAATGTGGAGTGTGTGGTGGTAATGGCTCCACGTGCAGGAAAATATCTGGCTCGCTCAACAGATCCAAGTAAGGCACCAGGGATAAGGATTCTGCAGGGATAGGTTGGAGGAGAAAAAACGGCATCCCCTCTCATTCTCCTTTTTTATGGCTGAAGTGCTAGACTAGGAATATTAGGACTCTGTGCCAGCACCCTCAGCCAGGTGGCATTGCAAGAGCCTGGGCTCCTCCCCAGACTCCAGGGCTTACGCTCAATTTATTTCAGGGCAGCTTTACACAAGCCAAGTTGAGTTTATTTCCTAAAGTAATAACTAATGAGATGGGCTCAGAAGACCACTGCACATAAATGTGCTGCCCAGAGGAGTTTACAGTGCACATTTCACCCCTGTGCAGGGGTGAACCCATCTTCGAGGGCTGACGTGATATAAATAGTTCAAAACTTTCCCTTGGGCTTGGGGGTGAATTGGAATCCTGGTCATGGGCATTGAGGACACTTCCCTCACCCAACGTCTCTGTCGCTTTGCCAAAGAGCAGAAGTTAAGGCTTTTGTTGGAAGGATTGTAACAAAAGCCCAACGCGTCCAATTCCATGTGGAGAGTTGACTCACGCAGGCAAATTAGATTTCCTAAATGGTTTCCTTCCAGGGAACTAGCTGAAATGGGGCTTCCACTCTCCTATGAATTGTTTGCGGTTAACTAAAGGGAGATTAGTGCAGGAGCTAGAGCCAAGAAGAGATCCCATTAAGATCAGGGTGAGGGAGGCCAGGATGACAGAGAGCAGAGTTTGACTCAAAGGCTTTTTTCCAAAATACTCTGAACCTAATTACTGACCGCAGCATCCACCATAGGGACGCATGGGAAGCTGTCCCGGGGCCCCACAGTGTGAGTCACAGTGCTGAGGGCACCAGTGCTGAAGCCTTCCGGGTGCTATCTCCAGAGCTCCAGGGATAGAGTCTGGCTGGCTTTGCAGGGAAATGCTTCCCTGGCATGGGAATGCCCTCTGTGTCCTGCAATGGGACTGCTTCTGCAATGCAGTGGTGGCTGGAAAAGCCTTTCAAAGATGCTGAGGGTGCAGATGCTCTCTCCTATTCTGCTGTTCTATATCTATTCAGCATCACCGGTGACACGCTTTCAGTCCCAAATACTTCACTTATTTCCAAAGGAAAGGAGCAAGGGGAATTTTCCACTAAGGCTGGTTGCCATGTGGCTGTTCATTTGATTTCATTGCTTATTTTCCCATCTAATTCAGTGAAATCTCCCAGCTGAGCTCACATCTGGCACATCCTCAATATCTCTGGCTCTGGAGTGCTCAGGGTTATGGAGAGATGGGTTCAGAGCCACGATCCCAAGTGCTATTCACTACATGGGTCTTCTCTTTATAAGTCTTGGAAAATAAGTGTCCCTTTGCTCCATGCAGATATGGCTACAATGACATCGTCACCATCCCAGCTGGAGCCACCAACATCGACATCAAGCAGCGCAGCCACCGCGGGCTCCGGCACGATGGGAATTACCTGGCCCTGAGGACCCTCGAAGGCAAGTACCTGCTGAACGGAGACTTTGCCATCTCAGCCATGGAGCAGGACATCCTCATTAAGGGAACCATCCTGAAATACAGCGGCTCCATGACAACCCTGGAGAGGCTGCAGAGCTTCCGACAGCTCCCGGAGCCCTTGACTGTGCAGCTGCTGACCATCGCCAGTGAGGTCTTTCCACCAAAAGTCAAGTACACCTTCTTCATCCCCAAGGACATCCCATTCAGCAAGCAGAAGGGCAAAGAGAAGAAGTCGGCCAACGTCATCCGCCCGATGCTGAACTCTCAGTGGGTCCTGGGTGACTGGTCCGAGTGCTCCAAGACGTGCGGCTCTGGCTGGCAGCGGCGGACAGTGGATTGCCGGGATGTGGAGGGTCAAACCTCCTCCACCTGCGACAAATCCCTCAAACCTGAGGACATAAAGCCCTGTGGAGACATGCCGTGCCCTCTCTGGCGCCTGGGCCCCTGGTCTCCCTGCTCCCAAACTTGCGGTGAGGGCGTGCGGACGCGCAATGCCTCTTGCATCGATTACACCGGGAAAATCACTGCCCCAGAGAAATGCAGCTCTCCAGGGCCACCACCAGCCACAGCCGCCTGTGTCCTGCGGCAGTGCTGAGCCACGCCAGAATTCGCGGAGCCAAGGATGCCGTGCGATCCCACCATGCCAGGGCAGGACAGCAAGGGTGCCGTAGGCTTGCTTGCCAGACGACCAACCACTCTGCAGTGGTTCATCCTCACCCCATCAATGTCTACCTCAGAGTGGGGAATAATGGCGGCAAAACGAGGAGGAATCACTTCTTTTCTTTTCTTTCTTTCTTTCTCTCTGGCTGGCTGCTCGCAGGCAAGTTGTAATTTAAAGGGAAAAATAAGCATAGGGTGTTTCCGAAGAGCTGTCACTGAACGTGGTTCCTTTTGGGAGGTTCACTGGGAGAAAATGTGGAGCCCGGGTTTGCCATCACCCTGTCCCAGCTGCAGGTCAAGGAGGTCCAGGGTGGGTGGCTTTGCTGATACAATTGGGATCCCTGTGCAAAAGGCGTTGAATGGGTTGCTCTCCCCTCCCTGCAGCAGCGTGGGTGTCCTTGAGCATGAGAAGTGTTTTATCAGCTGTGGGTTAACTCGGGAGATAAATTGCTTGTTTGGATGGGAGCAGGAATAAGCTGAGGACGAGATCCTGGCGTGAGTTAGGCAGGAGAACAGGTGAGGTGTTCATGGTGGTTTCTGCTGAATTTATAATCTACAAACTGACAAACCTCTGTCTCCGAACACCCCCAACATCTGCAGAGTTATTCCTGGAGCTGCTACCCCACCCATGTCCTCATTTCCCCAGCTTTAAAACCAAGGCTTAATTACACCTGATCTGGCTTACAGGGCTGCTGTGAGGATTAATTAATTGCTAATTCTGCAGTGCTCTGACTGTGAAATGCCCATTGCAATATCCCATTCCTTCTCTGGAGCGGACATTCTGGTGTGCCAGCCTTTCCTCTCCCATCCTTTGCTTTCAGGCCCCTGCAGGCTCATTTTTTTTCATCTCTGCTTGAATTTTGGAGTTTAATTTGCTAACCTGGCTTGCAGCAGGATAAGCCCAGGACCTGTAGATAATGCCAGAGGTCACCGATGCCACTCTCCACCTCTGCTTTCCCAGGATATTGAAGTTGCTCAGATCTGACGCCAGCTCCAGCCTTCCTTGAGCAATTCTCAGTCCAAAACTGAGCCTGGCAAGGATGAAGCTCTTCTTTCGCAGCAGGAAGCAGCCAGACCCCTTTCCCAGCCTGCCTGCTGCCTGTCCCCAGCATGGAGGCTGCTCAGCCCCTGAACTTTGCCCTTTCCAAAGTGATCTATGTTCTGGCAGCAGCCGGTGCCTGGGGAGCGGGGATGGAATTTGGGAAGGTTTTGCTATCACAAGCAATTTGGTGTCTCCAGGCTCCTCTCTTGTACCCTTCCTTGGCTTCCCTTTTGACAGAAAAATGTTGAATTTCCAGCGGGATCTGCCTTTTTCTCATAGGAAGGGGAGGAGGACTGGAATTTTTGATGTCTGAGCTTCCCCATTTATAATTACAGAGCGAACCCTTTTGCCTGAGCTAAGCTCGTGTGAGACCCTTTCCTCACTGTCCAGGCAGGGATGGGATGGGATGGGATGGGATGGGATGGGATTGGATCCCCTAAAGCCATGCCTGAAAATATGAATACTCCTGTTTTATTTCCAGTAGATGATTCCTGTCAAAACCAAGAGAGCTACAGCCCAGGATTGAGGGTACTGAGGGCTTGGCTCTGTTTCTTTAGGGAAGGAAGGAAAACTAAAGGCCAGATGCAGAGTTTGGATGCAGAGCTGTTTGGGCTGTGGTTCAGATCTACCTTCGGGCAGTGTTCTGTTTCTGCTAATTAATCTCCAGGAATTTAAGCTCTAACAAATAGCTGGATGTTAAAGTCATGTAGCCTTGCAGGGTTATTTTCTTTTCCCCCTTTGAGTCTATGAGGCTTCTAACTCCAAGCCAGCATGTGTCTCCTCTCCAGTGTAACAACCAGCATTTAGGACAGGGCAGGAATATCAGCCTGAGCCAGTGCCAAGGAAATTGTCTGTATTTATCACACAGGAGTCATGCACACCAAGGGTCTCTTTCAGTTTTTTTATAATCCCTGAGCTTCCTAAGAACTCCCTGTTGTGGGCAAATCCTGCTGTTTTTCAAGTGAGGAGGAGGAGGATGGGGACCCTGCTCAGTTGAGGCGTGGGGTCTGGGTGATGGTAAGTGGGATTCTTGCCTTAGACTTCCATAGAAACACGAACCTTTATGCTGATTTAAGTCAAAGAGGTTATATACTAGGATATATATATATATATGTATATATATGTTTCCCTTCAGTGAAGGATTGTAGCAATGTACTGAGCCTCTTGGGTTAGGTATTTATTATAAATTTCTGTTTGGTTTTGTACAGTAGCTGTCTGGAAAGGAGGAAGAAAAAAAAAACAAAAAAAGAGAGAAAAAATAAAAAGACCGTGTTTTAACATGCTGCTCCTACATCCCCTCTCCAAAAGCTGCAGTGGGGTAGAGAAGGGATGTCTTTGCTCATCGTTTAACCTCTCTGGTCTCTGGTGTCTCCCTCCTCCCTGGGGCACCAACCGAACTGTGTGAGCATAACAAATCCAACCAAAATTAAGCTTGGGACTTGCATTTTAAGGGGAGGGGAAAAAATTATAATTTTCCAGGTTTTAGCCTCTTGTTTGTATTTGTTTTTAAATTTGAAAACAGTCTGTTTGTGGTTCTGCCTCTTCCCTTTCAATAAAGGATTCCTGCATTTTACCTCTTCGCATTTGTCTCTATTTGCACTTTTCTCAGGATATAGTATCTTTATCTCCAGAAGCAATAACTTAAATATCCTTTTTCCTTATCTTATTGAGCCTTAAATAAATGGTTCATTCAGTTTTAAGATGCTGAATGAAAATACATGAGCGAATAGACAAAACCCACAAGCAAAAATTATTCCACTGAAATTGTGAATCATCTGTTTTGTAGTTGCCTTGTGAGTACCTCCCTCCTTTCTATACATGTACAGTGTATCTCTAAATACATATTATAGAATTCTGTTATGTATTATATTCTTTTATTGTATCATACAGTTTTATAATAATGCATTCTATTATATATTCTATGTTATATATCTTATTCTATATATTCTATTTTTCTGTATATTCTATAAATTCTATTATATATGAATTCTGTGGTTCTATGCTAATATTATATCTATATATACATGATGTAATAGCTACATAATACATCATATATTTTATAGATACATAACATATAGAAAATATATCGCTTTATGCATCTAGATAATTCTTGTACTTACTAGGAGGACATACAGCCTAAACAGGGCTATATCTCTATATAAATCATATATATTATAGATACATATACATACTATATCTACCTATATATATATATATCACAGAAATCATATAGGTTGTTTATGCACAGGGATAATTCTTGTACTTAGTAGGAGGAAATATAGCCTAAACAGGGCTAAACCGGAGGAGATGTTGACTCCTTGGCTTAACTATGTAACAGCTATAGGCAGTGGGAATTTGGTGCTGTCTCTCTATAGGTTGACCTCTGAAACAACAGGAGGACTGGAATTTGGGTTTTGGCAATGGAGATTTTGGAGCCATTTCATTGGAATAATCATGAGCTTGTTACAGGGTAATTTGGATGCCTGTAACCCTGTCCTAGGAGAAAGGCCAGCCTAACATCAAATAGCAGCTGTGGTTTATTTTCTGTACAGTGGGGATTTCCATGCACTGATGGAGCAGGAAAAGGATGCTGCAGGGGCTGCCTGTGTTCACCCCTGCGGGAGGGCAAGGGAAAGGGTTAAGGGCCGTGTCCCCACGTCCATGGGCACAGTGACTCCTGCCACCCTATTTATAACCAGGTGTGACATTCATTTTGCATGACTTCCCCTGGCACCCGGACAGCCCCTGGGGTTCAGCTCATTAAGGTGACAGCCTGCCCGGCTTTTCCCCCACATTTCTACTCTGTTGTTTTGTTGGGTTGGAGTTGAATAATTGGAATTTCAAACAATGCCAAAGGCTTCGGGATATTACCAGCCTGGGGAAAAGCCCTTAATTAATCATAGCAACATAACCATCATCATTTAACTTTTAAAAAAGAATAGTGGGATAAGAAAGCAAACTGTGGAACAAGAAGTTAATCTTATGGAAAGTTCTTTGTTACCATATTCACAGTTGTACCCCAGAGGCAACGGAAACCAGAGGGCAGAGATGCATCTCTGTAGTTCCATCGGGGGGAATTATTTACAGACTGGACCCCTCCAGCCTGTGCTGCACATAATGCTGCTCCCCAGTTGGAGGTAATTATATTTTATGGGCATATTTCCTCTTATAAGGCACTTTCAGAGGATGTAGGATGCCCAAGGCTGCTCCCCCAGGCATGAGCATCACCAGGTATGTGTTGAAAGGGTGGTTTCATACCCTCTTCCAGCCTTATTTTGCTAGAGTTTGCAAGGCTCACCTCATAAAACACCCTCCTCAGCTCTGGGCTGGATTTATTATCCCTGGACTGAAGTGACCACAGTCTCCCAGCAAGGTCACACCAGCACCTGGTGCTCCAGCCACAAATCCATCCTTATTTCTGTTGGGAACATCCTTCCTGACATGTCCTAGAACCATGATGTCCCTTTTCTGCCGTTATCCCTTGCTCATTTCATCCATCTTGGTCTTACAACCCCTCTGCTCTGGTAGATCACACCTGTCAAATTTATCTTCAGGTGACCAAGCAACTGGTCTGATTCCTTGGCATTTTAGAGAGTCTAAATTGCTGTTGCAATTCAAAGCATTTTAGAAAACAGGTTTCTCTCCTAAACTCCTGCTTCAGCTTCCTCCCCTGCCGACCAGCATGCTTTAACCCCCAGGACTACACTCACTGAGGGCCAGGCAAAGCATTCCCAGACCTGGAGAGGACATAAATCCTCCCAATGCCAGGAGAAAACCAGGAGTTTCTGAAGAGAGGAGTCAGCAGGATTGAGCTAAAGCTGATTAACTTGAGCCCTGGAGCAACAGGCGTGAGGATGGAGAAGAGACAGTTCCTGCTCTCCAGTGGTAACTCAGGAGTAGGCAGCAAGCCCTCGAGGGTGGGAGCAAAGAGGTTTTTCCTCTGGAGCTGATGGGGTCAGAGAGGGAATGCTGTGCAGGGAAGGTGTCATTTGCTTTGGGTGTTAATGGATGCATCCTGCCAGGAGCAGGCTCCCTGCAGCAAAGGATTTGCTCCAAGAGCAACTGAAGAACAGGAAAACACACCCCACAGGCTGCAAAAAGAGGATAAACCAGCTTCCAGCCAGGAGTTGCAACTTCTGGTTCCTTGAATGGGGAAAACAAGGGAGAGATTCAAGGGTTAAAGCAAGGAGCCACCCCCTAGGGATGGACGGGAGAAGTACCTGAGTGGATGGGAAATCAGGATTTGTTTAGACAGACAAAGGAGGTTTTAAGGGGATGGCACAGCCTCCACTCATGCTGCAGATGGGAACCCCTTCGAAAGCTTTCTCCCGTGTTTTATATCCGTCAAATTCCAGGTAGTTCAGGAAGGAACTCCTGAGCTCCCTCTCTGTTCCAACATATGGGTGGCAGATGCACAAACCAGCTCTACCACTGAATTACTCAGGGTTTATGTTGGTGTTGCTCCATCTATGTCCACAAATCAATCCCAGGATGTTCTAAAATGTGTGTAAGAGCAAAACCCATCACCGGGAAAATACTGGGAGTCTGTATTTTGGCATTTCCTTGCAACATCTCTCACCGAGGAACTGCAACTCCACGGAAAAAGCAGAGTAATAAAGGACAACCCAGTAGCTTGGGAAACCTGAGCATGTGGAAATCAATACAGCTTCTTCCCTGGTTTACTCCAGCAAATGCCATGGATCTGGGAATCACTGGAGAACCTCTCCAGGTATCGAGGGCTGATGAATTGTTATTAGTAAACAGCCTTTCCTGCTGCAGGGAGAGGAAACTGAGATTGGAGCCAGGCTGGGGAGGCTGATGTGCCCCTCCATGGTGATGATATGTAGAGTGCTCTGATCCAAAACCTACCAGCTTTCCTGCATCCAGGAATGATCAGTTTATTAATGAATGAATTTCTTAAAAAGAAAGTCAGTGGTGCCACATTTTGAAGTTTTATGGTTTATTTCCAGGCCTCGTGGAGCAGGTTTAAAGGCTGGTGGTATGAATGCCTTACTTAGAGGATGTTCTGCTGAAGCACAGTGAGGGCACAGAGTACGCCGAATTTCATGTCTTCCAGACATGAATTTGGGTAGTTTGGACCTGATTTCCCTTGTGGCCTGCTCAGAGCAAGTCTCAAGCTAGATACAAGCACGTGTAACAACCCACAGCACTGATCAAGCATCTCTGCTGCTCCCACCTGATGCTTTATTCCTGAAATCATTACAAATCGTCATTTTGAAACCATTTTAAAGATGCAACAACCACATCTACAGAGCCAGTGAGAAAAGGCAAATCTGATTCTGATCTATAGGAACCAGCACTGGTTCTTGGTTGATTTAGATCACTCCATCTACAACAGTTTCACCATCAAACACTCCTTGATCGAGACTTTTCAGAGCATTTTGAAGGTGAGGGATGGAGCCTTAGGTTGTTGTATTAATCCTCTGTGATTCAGGAGTTACCATGGATAGCCAGGAACAGATTTCCTTGAAAATTATGTCTTATGAAAGTGGAAACAACCCCTGCACACATGTAATAGGCTGCAATCAGCTCTATTTTACTCCTGCTTTACACAGGAGTGTAAAGCACTGCTTTGCAACAGGAGGCTGCTGTGTATCAGGGTTGCAATACAGATCCCTGGGAATATAAAGCCAAGATAAGAGGAAGTGAAAGGGAATTAAGCAGAGTCCAACTCTCCGCTCTGATTCTCCTCCCAATTTTGCAAGGAATCATCTAAATGAGACCCAGAGTTTTCACAACAGTGCAAGGGAAGTTTGGCCTCTTCTTTTCTTTTTGTTGTGGCTGTTCCAGGGACTGGTTTTAGATTTTTTCCTGCTGATTAACATTTTTGGACCGTGGCTGTTCAGTCTCTTTCCTGCTTCAATTCACTGAGTGCTTACCACAAAAAACCCCAAACACAACAAAAACCCCACTGCAAAACAAGGCTTTGAGGAAGGGGTTCCATTAATCTCAACAGATTAAACTGATTTTAGCCTGAGTTAGTGCAGATTTGGGCCAAATTATTGGGGGGGGATTAATGAGAGACTCATTAACTGTAAAGTTCATCGGGAGGGATGCAAACTGTAAAGTTCATCGGGAGGTGGTTTGCATGGTTTTGGGACTCTTGTTTTCCCACTGTTTGGGTGCACTGGGACCCCATTACCCCCCATTAGGGTGCACTGGGACCCTATTACCCCCATGCTGGTACACCCACAGGACCCTGTTACCCCATAATGTGGCACTAGGATCACTTTCCCCCCATTGAGGTCCACTAGGGCCCCATTACCCCTGTTAAGGAGCACCGAGACTCCTCTCCCCCCACTGCAGTGCATTAGGACCCTGTCCCCACCCTGGGGTTCACTTGGACCCCATTACCCCTCACTAAGGTGCACTAGGACACCGTCCCCCAATGTTACACAGCCCCGGTCCCCCCCATTCCCGGTTCCCATTCCCAGTCCCCATCCCCCCATTCCCGGTTCCCATCCCCCCCATTCCCATTCCCTATTCCCATTTTGGTCCCTATTCCCGGTTCCCGTCCCCCCCTTCTCAGTCCCCGTTCCCGGTTCCCTCCCCCCATTCCCGGTTCCTGGTCCTGGTCCCGGTCCCCGTTCCCATTCCCCTATTCCCAGTCGCCATTGTCCCATTCCCGGTCCCCATCCCCCCATTCCTGGTTCCCATCCTCCCGTTCCCGGTTCCCATCCCCCCATTCCCGGTCCCCCCGCCGGCCGGTGCCGCTCAGTGCGCACGCGCGAGGCCCCGCCCCCGGCGGCGCGGTGCATTGTGGGACACAAACAAAGTGCCCGGGCGGGCGCGCGCGGGAGCTCTGCCGGCGGCGCGCGCTCCCCCCGCCCCCCGTGCACGCGCAGCGCGCGCGCCCCTCACGCCCCTCGCGCGGGGGGGTCGCGCGCCCCCCCCCCACCCCCCGCCCCCGTCCCCCCCGGCTCGGGGGGGCGGCGCCCCCCCCCCCCCCCCCCCCCAAATCCCAAATATCCCGCTCGTCCCGCCGCCTCCCGGCCCCGCCGTCATGGCCCCCAGATAGTGGCCCGGCCTCACGGACCGCCCGCAGGTAACCGGGAAGCGCGGCCGGGCCTGGGGCGGGAGGGGGGCGGTCGGTGGCGTGGGGGCCTCAGGTTCCCCTCAGGGGCGGGGGGCGGGAGGGCTCCGGCCCCGGCCCCTCTCCCCCATCATTCTCGTCCCCTACCGGTGTTTCCCGGCCGTGCCCCGCGGCCCCGGGGCTGCGCTCGCCCCGCGGGGGATCCCGTTGCGTGCTGCACAGCCCGGGTGTCCCCCTCCCGCGGGGCCGTGTCACCCCCGCGCCGCACCGCAGGGTTCCCGCGGCGAGGGTGTCCCCTCCCTCCGAGGGTGTCCCCTGTGCCAGTGTTTGGGGGTGTCACCTTCCTCCGGGGGTGTTCTCTGCCCCTTGTGCAAGTGTTTGCCCCTCCGGGGCTATGCCGTGCCCTTGTGCCGGTGTTTGGGGGTGTCCCCTGCCCCGTGTCCCACTGTTTGGGGGGTCACCTCCCTCCGGGGATGTTCCCTGCCTCTGTGTCTGTGTTTGGGGGTGTCCCCTGCCCCCTGTCCCGGTGTCACCTCTCCTTGGGTGCCCCCTGCCCTGAGGGGTGACTGCCCAGGCCCGTGGGTGCACATCAAACCTGTAGTTCCAGGGGGTGTGAGGGGCAGTGGTGTTGTTTCCTGCATCCCAACGGGATACCTGCTGCCTCCACTGCAGTTTATGGGAGGAATTAGAGAGATTCCCACGAGCTGTTGGGCAGAGCCTGCTGTTCTTGTGGCGTTTTTGGTTTTTTCCTACAACAGCCCCTTCTGCACATTCTTTAGTGCCCATCTGCTGGGGTCTGTTGTGCTGCCTCTGTGGCCACGCACCTGCCCAGACCTACTCTGTGTTTTTCTGCTCTCATTCCATCTATCCAGAATTATATTGCTATAGAGACATAAACGTTGGCAGATTTTGGGAGGGTATAATCTGCTTCTTGCTTGCCCAGAGCCTGTTACCTCTCCTTCCCACACAGTACCTCACAAAATCTGCTATCCCTGTTTCCATGTGAAGGTGAAATCAACTCCATGCTTGACCTCCAGAGTCCGTTAAACGCTCCACTTCACGAGGCTCCTACCCGTCTACAAAAAGCTGCTGAGTTTTTCCCCACCCAAGGAGACATATCCTCCTCCAGAGCCTGAGGGATGACTCCTCCAGCCCATCTCCTGTGCTGTGGAGCCTGTTCTGCCCACTGAAGGATGTGTGTCTCCTCCTCCACACACACATGAGGGTTATCCCACTGATTTCCTGCCAAAAGCTGGTGCATCCCATGTTGTGTGTGTTTGTACACCTCAGGAAGGTGCATCCAGTGTTTCACCAGTAGCCTTTGGGACAGGCAGACATTTCTCCTGCATGCTTCCAGGGAGAAGGTTCCCACTTTGTCCTTTCATGTCTTGGATGTTCCCAGAGATGCCCCGTGGCAGCTGTTCTGGGTCCTGCCCCCAGCTCTTCCCTGCTGCATGTGCCAGGGAGGTCAGCCCGGTACCCACCGCTTGTCTCTTCTTGGCTGCCTGTTCCACCTTTCATGGCTGAGATTCCCACCTTTTGCCTTCCTGGTCTCTGTTGATTCTGCACTGTGATATTATCAGGTTAAGCCTACCTTGGTTTTCACTTTGACTTTGAGGTTTTCTTTGCTGAACAGTCCACCAGAGTAAAATCAAGTAGCCTTTGTACTGCCTGGGTATCTGCAGATCCCACAGGTCTAAAATACCATCACTTTCTCTTTTTCTGGTCATATACATAATTTGTCCATTCCAGGATGTTTTCTGAGACCTCCGAGCCCCTTCCAGTGCCTAAAGGAGGCACTCCAGGCACTCAAACTCCAAGAGAGCTAGAGAGGGACTTTGGACAAGGCCATGGAGTGACAGTTCAAGGGGGAATGGTTTCCCACTGCCAGAGGGCAGGGTTAGATGGGATATTGGGAAGGAATTGTTCCCTGGGAGGGTGGGGAGGCCCTGGCACAGGTTGCCCAGAGAAGCTGTGGCTGCCCCATCCCTGGAAGTGTCCAAGGCCAGGTTGGGCAGGGCTTGGAGCAACCTGGGCTAGTGGAAGGTGTCCCTGCCCATGGCAGGGGAGTTGGACTAGATAATCTTAAAGGCCTCTTCCAACCTAAACCATCCTGGGATGTTTCTAGAAGTCTCCTGCTTTCATAGTTTTCCTCAGCTGAGGCCCTTGGTTTGCTGTACCCACGTGGGGAGTTTCTCGGGTTTCCCGGTCACGTTTGCCCCTGCTTTCCTTCTGTGCTTTTGCTTGGCACGAGGCTTTTCCTTTTCCCTTTCAAAATTTTTATTTTATTTTCCTTGGGGTGTATCCCCTAGGTAGCCACCTGGCAGCTCTTCCTGAGGTTCAGGTCTCCCAGTTCCCATCCTGAGCTGATCCCTGGCTCCCAGCTGAGTGTTTCTATAGACAAGGTGATGTGTTGTTTGTCACATGTGGGACACATCTATGGCACTGCTCTGTGGACCCTGCAAGGTGATGCTGAGTGGGAATGACTCCTGTGCAGGCAGGTCACAGACCAGCATCCAGGAGCCTTTGGGGTATTTTGAGTGCAATGTGTTTTTCTTCTGCCATGGAGGTCTCTTACTTGATGTCTACACGTGACTCAGGTCTGAGTTGTGATGCACCTGAGGACCTTGCCTGGGTTTAAGTACAGCTATTTAAGGAGGTGGAACTGAACCTGAGAGCTCAGACACAGCTCTGTCAGTGTAAATGCTGCCATTGATATCAAACTGTTTATTCCAAAAACCAGTTACAATGCTCTAAGTGTCTCTCCCTCGAGACTACTTGTATTTAAACAGCTGGTTTTAATCCGAAGCTTTAATTGGTGCAAACACTCCAAGCAGTCCCTTTCCAGGGGGAGGGAATTTCCAGCCCTACTTTAGTCTCCCCAGGTGGGTGTTGCAGGGATGCTGACTTGTCAGGAGAGAGGATCACACTGGATTTGTTTACAGGGTGAGAGAATTCCTGTTTCTGTGACTGAGGCTTGGAGGGGGGAGAGTGTCCTTAGGTATTCCTTGCACAGTGCGTAAGAGTAGTGAGCGAGTGAAACTAAATCCTTGCCATGTTTGTTGCAACAGGAGGTTAATCATAAACTCTGGCACTTTCCAAAGGCGTGGTTTCATTCTGTGGTGTCTGTAGGGAATTGTGCTGTTCAGAGGGTCTGGTCAGCTGTTTGCCAAGAGGATCAAAAGCAAATACAGCTTCCCCCTGTCTGAGGTTGAACAAGCACCCAAACATTGGGTTTGGTTGTATTCCATGACTTGCTGAAAGTATTTTTAAGTCCTTGTGAATGAATGTGTGGTGCCTGTGGTGTGTGAGGTGTTCGTGCAACCAGGACCAAGTCTTGGGTCCTTCACACTTGTGTGAGTTATTTCACAACTTATTTCACCGGCCTTGGCCATTACATCTGGTAAACTTCTTTTTCAGTGGGCTCAGAGAATGTCTGAGTGTATGGGAGAACATCTGTTGATACATATATCTCCAGATATATCACTCCTTTTAGCATTGTAATCCACTGGTTTAAACAAGAAGAAAGTCAAACTGTGACAAAGCAGTGATGCTTCTGCTGGCACGTGATGAGGAAGGAGATGTCCCCTGACGTAGAAGGGGTTGTCTGTTGACATTTTTCTCCCTCTCCCAGTTTTAAGTAGGTTATCCCTGCTCAAATTATGCAACTGTGCAGACAGCCAGACTTCAGGAATTCCAAATGCTTCAATGTGTCAAGTACTGCCTTCTAAATGAAATGCCACAGTTGCAGAGCCTGTTCACAGTCTGTTACTTCAAATACAACATCGATCCTGGAATCGCGTGTGGCTGGGAAGGGGCAGCAGCTTAATTGCTTGTTCCCTTGGGGAACTGTTGTGTGAGATTGCAGGACCCAAACCGGTTGGGAGAGGTGCCTCTACCTGTGGCAGCGTTTCCATATGGAAGTCAGTAGTTATAAGCAGAAAAAAACATCCTAAAAACATTGATTTCTGTAACAAATTGAAACTCCTCACTCTTTGTGGCTGCGGCTGTTGCCTCCAAGATGCAGTTTCCAGCATCCAGAACTAATTAAATAGTTGTGTGCTTGCTGCTAAGTAAACATTGGAGTCCATTACTCTTAACTTGCCTTGGAGATCAAATTGATTCTTCTAATGGTTTCACTGGATGAAAGCAAATGTACTGGGATTGCTTTGTGCAAGGTGCCTAAATGAAATGGTGGTGGTAGGAAAAGAGCTGCAAACCTGATAAAATGAGATGGCAGCTTTTAATTTAATTCTTACATTCCAATTAGTCAAGTTAAGGAAGGGACTTAAACTATTTGTCAATAGCGTGTTTTTAATGCATTCCAGTTCAGGGCTGGTGAAATAATTATTTCACATGAACAGGTTTATCAGAGCACGGGAATGATGGGATAATAAGGACTGCAAAAAGTGTGTTGGGCTCAGCATGTGGTGTGTGACAGTGGCCAGGGGAAGAGTGGAGGAGCTAACACAGACAGCTCAGTCATGTCCCCTGTGCATCTACTGCACTTTGGGGTTTATTATTTGGGGTGATTTGACCACAATATTTGTTTGCCTGCTCCACGCAAGAAGGCTGAAAAAAGGCAGTTTTTCCAGAGCATGAAGAGATGCTTTCTAAAAGGACACTTTGTACCTCATCTGTGATAACATTATAAACATTTACTGTGTGTAATGTTTTATATTCAGAAGTACAAGTGAACATAGTAATTGTAGTGAGAGATATTTTAGTGGAAATATAGTTAGAGCTACTGAAGAAGATCTGAGTTTATAAAAACAGCTACAGGTGGTACTTGATAAAGCATTTTGTATTTGGATATTACCAAGAGTGTGTTATGGAAAAACTACAATTTTAGTGATACTTACCAGAGTTAAATCTGTTGGAAGGTGTTGGAAGCATGAAGATGCCATGTCCTGTGGAGACCCAAGAGTCCTGGAAATTACTAATGCATTTGGGAATAACTGCCGAGTTAAGGGAAAGTTGGTCCCATATTAGGGACAGATATTGACAATGTT